ATGGCTAAAGGAAAACTTAAGTTTCCCACCGTAAAAATACTTATTCCCTCCAATTATTTTAATAAAAACGTAAGTTTCCCACTATAAAATTAAAACCAATGATGAGGTTGAACCAATAATAAAAGGAGTAGTATATATAATATGGTTTCATATTATAAGTTCAAAATATTTACATCTCATCAAATATGGCTTTAGAGGAGGTTGAAGCAACTAATGACATTGATGAGTCCTATGAAGATAATTTACAAGAGGAGGTTGAAGGAAACAATGACATTGGTATATTTTTTATTTCATGTGTGTTTGTTTTTTATGTGGTGGTTTCTATACTTAAATTCACAGTGATATTTCATGTGTGTTTATTTTTTATGTGGTTGTTTCTAGTAATTTTGTTATTTTTTTTAAAAAAATTATAGTGTATGTTGCAGAAAATTTTGAAGCAAAATCTAGAGAAAGAAAGAAATTAAGAGTCTTAAGCAATGAAGAACGCATGTCTATTTATCATGAGCTACTACAAAAAAGCGTTGATGGACAATTACGTAAAGGAGCTACAAATGAGGTGGATTCATCAAATTCGGTTCCTATAAGAACTGTTCAACGTATTTGAAAAAGAGCAAAAGAAAGTGAAACGCGTGATGTCTCTCATAGGAAGATAAAAAATTGTGGACGTAAGAGAATTTCAATTGATGAGAATCAAATTCGTGAACTTCCTTTCAGTCAAAGAACAAACATTCGATCTTTAGCTTTTGGGTTGAAAACCAATCCAACATCGGTGTTCAGGCTTATAAAATCAGGGCTTATACGGCGTAATTCAAATGCCATAAAACCATTATTGAAAGAAGAAAACAAAATATCTAGGCTGGAATTTTTTTTATCAATGCTTGAAGGTACACCACATGATCCAATGTTTAAAAGCATGCACAATATTATTCATATTGATGAAAAATGGTTTTATATGACTAAAAAATTCGAGAAGTATTATTTGCTCCCAGATGAAGATGAGCCATATCGAACATGTAAGAGAAAAAATTTCATTGCCAAAGTTATGTTCTTAGTTGCTCAAACTCGGCCACGATTTGACGCAGGAGAAAATGAAACTTTTTCGGGTAAAATTGGTGTTTTCCCCGTTTGTTACCCATGAACCGGCTCAAAGGTCAAGTATTAACAGAGTTGCAGGAACAATGGTAACAAAAGCAATAACTTCGGTTAAGAGAGATGTGGTAAGATCATTCCTTATTGATAAAGTCCTACCGGCTATAAGAGAAAAATGGCCAAGAGATGACTTGAAGTCAACAATATTTATTCAGCAGGATAACGCAAGGGCACATATAAACCATAATGATCCTTTGTTCTGTGAGGCTGCTACCAAGGATGGGTTTGATATTCGTTTAATGTGTCAGCCTGCAAACTCTCCAGATTTAAATATCTTAGATCTTGGGTTTTTCTCGGCTATACAATCATTGCAATACAAGGAAGCACCAAAAACTATTGATCAACTTATCGATGCAGTGGTGAAGTCATTTGAAAATTTTCCTTCAATTATGTCCAATCGTATATTTGTATCATTGCAATTATGCATGGTAGAGATCATGAAAGTGACAGGTTCCAATAAATATAAAATTCCTCATATAAATAAGGAAAGGCTAGAAAGAATAGGACAACTACCAATTCAAATTAAGTGTGATCCAATATTAATACAAGAAGTCAAGAATTACTTAAACATGGAGTAACACTTATTGTAAGTGGGATGTAGTCACATTTGAGAGTTTCAAATAGAGTTTTTTTTTTAAGTTTATGGATTGTACTCCTAAAATTTAGTTTATGGAGTAACAAATTTAGTTACAGTAACTTTTGCCATAAATATAGTTTATGGATGTAGTCACTTTTATCATATGTATTGTGCGTGAGAATTAAGTTTATATTTTCCTAAACTTTTGCCATAAAAAGTTACAATAACTTCCTAAACTTTAGCAAATCTCCTGCACGTAACTTCCTAAACTTTTGCCATGATTTTTTTTAATGTATCAATAAAAAAACAATAAGAATGAACTTAAGAAATGCATTCCTAAATTGTAGCAATAACAAGGAATTCTTCTCCATACTTATTTTATAAAAAAAATACCAATAATAAGGACTTCTTAAATAACAACTCCTACAACTTATGCACTTAAGCCAAATCTAAAATGAGATACTCCATACTTAGTCCACAAATATTTTTCAGTAAAATTTTGGAAGAAGTTTTTTTATCATCTTTTTTATCACAGGTCGAAACTCAGTATGGTGGGAAGATTCTTCTCCGTTTTTTTCTCCTTCTTCTTCTTCGTCTTCTTCAGGAAATTTGTTCAAATCAAATTCATAATCTGTCTCTTCATTTAAATCAAAATCCAGTACAACTCTTGATAATACTTCTTCTTCTTCGTTGTCATCTTGTTCTTGAATCTTGTCAAAAGAGTCTTCCACGATTTCCCCTTCTTCTTGCTCCAATGACTCTTCCACTCTTTCTTCTTTTTGAAGATCCATGGAGTCTTTTGTTGTTCCACCACAACTCTTTTGTTTTGTACGGGATAATTTAAACAATGGTACTAATCCTTTTTATAGAATTATTAGTCTTCAATTGAAAAATTTGTTCCTTTGACAAAATTTAATGCTAAACATTTTTCTATGTAATATTGGATTATAATTTGAAGTGAGTGTGAAGTGAGTTATTACATATAGTAAATTTTCATGGGAATAGGAATACGTATTAAGAAAGAGAATTTTATGGAAAATGTGAAGTGAGTTATTACATATATTAAGAAAGGAAAATTTTATAAAATATAAAGTGGACTTATTTAAAAAGTAAGGGTATAATTGGTAAATTGTAACCTTAAAACATCAAAACGACACTTAAATAGGAACAAAAAAAACTTCTAAAACGACACTTAAAAAGAAACGGAGGGAGTAATAATAATAATAATAGTAGTAATAACAACAACAACAACAACAACAACAACAACAACAACAACAACAACAACAACAACAACAACAACAACAACAACAACAACAACAACAACAACAACAACAACAACAACAACAACAACAACAACAACAACAACAACAACAACAACAACAACAACAACAACAACAACAACAACAACAACAACAACAACAACAACAACAACAACAACAACAACAACAACAACAACAACAACAACAACAACAACAACAACAACAACAACAACAACAACAACAACAACAACAACAACAACAACAACAACAACAACAACAACAACAACAACAACAACAACAACAACAACAACAACAACAACAACAACAACAACAACAACAACAACAACAACAACAACAACAACAACAACAACAACAACAACAACAACAACAACAACAACAACAACAACAACAACAACAACAACAACAACAACAACAACAACAACAACAACAACAACAACAACAACAACAACAACAACAACAACAACAACAACAACAACAACAACAACAACAACAACAACAACAACAACAACAACAACAACAACAACAACAACAACAACAACAACAACAACAACAACAACAACAACAACAACAACAACAACAACAACAACAACAACAACAACAACAACAACAACAACAACAACAACAACAACAACAACAACAACAACAACAACAACAACAACAACAACAACAACAACAACAACAACAACAACAACAACAACAACAACAACAACAACAACAACAACAACAACAACAACAACAACAACAACAACAACAACAACAACAACAACAACAACAACAACAACAACAACAACAACAACAACAACAACAACAACAACAACAACAACAACAACAACAACAACAACAACAACAACAACAACAACAACAACAACAACAACAACAACAACATGATGGAGGCTCTCATTTCTAGGGGAATAGAAAAGCCTCCCCTACTAAAGGAGTACGACGTTGCAGATCTTGTCGACCAAATCGACGGGTTTGAAGTAATGCTATATTACCACAACACGGGGGCCAATTAAATCTCGGCTGTTCCCCACGACTTTAAGAAAAATAGCTATGGACTGGTACAAAAACCACTCCCCCGGATCGATCACCTCCTACTAGAGCCTCAAGAACCAGTTCATCAACTCCTTCACCACGTCTCGCCGACATCCAAAGACAGAGGTCTCCCTTGAGACAATCGTCCAGAAAAGCGACGAGACCCTGAGGAAATACATTGATCAGTTCAACCGCAAGGTCATTCAGATCCCGTGCGTCGATCACATGAAAAGGTACCTGCTCGAAAGAAGTTTCCTTCCAGAAATTGAATTCAGGAAGGCTGTCGGCATTGAGCCCTCCAGGTCTTTTGACACTCTCCTCGAAAAAGCCAGGACATACATGGACTACGAGGAGAAAGATACGGCCAATAAAACCCGCGAGTCGAAGGAATGTGATTATTAAGGCAACAAACGAGGTCACTTCACCATCCATCTAGGAGAATTGGAAACCTCCCAAATCATCTTCCACTCCTTCCTTCAACGGTATTCTCTGGCCTTCTGTAGGTTCCCTTCCACCTTCCCTTTTTCTTTCTTCTCTTTTTCTATTACTATTATTCTTTTCTATCAATTTAGTTACCATATATACCATGCAACAATCGTTTAAAATATTTCACATACATTTGTTTATGGATTAATTGAGATATATACACACATTGTATGTGCATAGAAGTTTTATTGATATGCTCTTGACATATTTTTCAAATTTCCAACGTTTTATTTTCTCAGCTATGGTTGAATGAAGAATTTAAATGTTTTCTTCTGTGTGATTTTAAAAATTCACCAGGGGAATTTGTAACAGTGGCCATATTGGGAAAACTGGATCAACTATTGACACCAAAAGGACTTTCAAGTTTCAATCACAATTGCACCATTAGGAGTAGTTTCTGCATTCTTATTTGCTACACCCTTGGCCCCTTCTGCACGGATACGTCTATTACTACTATCTCCTTTCGGGTTTAATTCATATATACTGTCAAGAAACTGATGCGGCCTTTGATGATTGTGAAGAGTGAAGCCTCCATACTAAATCAAAAGCTTCAATTCCATTATTCATTTTAAATCTGGGTCTATCTTTTCTGATTCATGTTTTTCCTTTTAATCACTAGTGTTTATGTTGATGACACATCAAGTGTTCCCAAGAAACTCTGAACCAGATGTTGTAGAAATTGGTTCTAATTCATGAGCTGAATATATCATCATCATGTTAACATAATGATGACTTTGAAGGCTTGGGTGCTCCTAGTTCTTTGATGGTTAACCTGAGTTGACAGAGGAAGTACTGACTAACAATAACAGTGTTGTTAGTGCTGCTAGAGGATTAGCTGAAAGGGCTGCAAGATTTATTGTAAGTTTTGCTTCGATGAAACTAAACTCGCACTTGTCGAAACTGAACTATTACTACTTTAGCCTACTATCAGTCCTACTAGATAAGCATATATAAATCTATGAGGGTTGTTTTTCAACTGAAGAATTATAAGCTTGTTTTAAATGAGAAATTCTCAATTTATTAGAAGCTATTCGAAACTGGGTCCTTTAAATATCGTGGTTTATAGCTAATGTGCTTCTTTGCTTACATTGCTTATGTATCAAATATGTTATCTATTATCAATATTTTCGATTTTACACGATCCTACCAAAGTCCGATTTATAAGCTATTGAGTTTAGCTGGAGGTTTGACTCAAGTGTCCAACTATAAGCTGCCAATCAAACTATAATCTAATTCCATCCAGCTATCAAACCATCCTAAATCAGGGCAGTCAATTGCAGAAATAGGGATTTCTTCAAATTCTATTAAGTAGTATATTAATATTGATATAACACTCTTATAGCCTCTATTAGACAACACTTTGTATCAAATAACTTATGCTAGAAAAAAGTGATTTGTTTAAATTCCGCAACAGACTGCAGGAAGCTATTTATTATAGTTTATACCATAAATCTAGCAAAGAACATGCTCAACGATAAACTTTACTTCTCTCATGATAGTATTTTTAGTGAACTAAGAACATGCCCACCTATAAACTTTACTTCTCTCATGACAGTATTTTTAGCGAACTAAGAACATGCCCAACTATACACTTTACTTCTCTCATGACAGTATTCTTAGTGAACTAAGAACATGCCTAACTATACACTTTACTTCTCTCATGACAGTATTTTTAGTGATATAAGAACATTTCCAACTATACACTTTACTTCTCTCATAACAATATTTTTAGTGAACTAAGAACATGCTCAACTATACACTTTACTTCTCTCATGACAATATTTTTAGTGAACTAAGAACATGCCCAACTATACAATTTACTTCTCTCATGACATTATTTTTAGTGAACTAAGAACATGCCCAACTATACACTTTACTTCTCTCATGACAGTATTTTTAGTGAACTAAGAAAATGCCCAACTATACACTTTACTTCTCTCATGACAGTATTTTTAGTGAACTAAGAACATGCCCAACTATATACTTTACTTCTCTCATGACAGTATTTTTAGTGAACTAAGAACATTCCCAACTATACATGTTACTTCTCTCATGATAGTATTTTTAGTGAACTAAGAACATGACAAACTATACACTTTACTTCTCTCATGATAGTATTTTTAGTGAACTAAGAACATGCCATACTATACACTTTACTTATCTCATGACAGTATTTTTAGTGAACTAAGAACATGCCCAACTATACACTTTACTTCTCTCATGACAGTATTTTTAGTGAACTAAGAACATGTCCAACTATAAATGTTACTTCTCTCATGACAGTATTTTTAGTGAACTAAGAACATGTCCAACTATACACTTTGCTTCTCTCATGACAGTATTTTTAGTGAACTAAGAACATGCCCAACTATAAACTTTACTTCTCTCATGACAGTATTTTTAGTGAACTAAGAACATGGCCAACTACACACTTTACTTCTCTCATGACAGTATTTTTAGTGAACTAAGAACATGCCAACTATAAACTTTACTTCTCTCATGACAGTATTTTTAGTGAACTAATAACATGCCCAACTATACACTTTACTTCTCTCATGACAGTATTTTTAGTGAACTAAGAACATGCCCAACTATACACTTTACTTCTCTCATGACAATATTTTTAATGAACTAAGAACATGCCCAACTATACACTTTACTTCTCTCATGACAGTATTTTTAGTGAACTAAGAACATGCCCAACTATACACTTTACTTCTCTCATGACAGTATTTTTAGTGAACTAAGAACATGCCGAACTATACACTTTACTTCTCTCATGACAATATTTTTAGTGAACTAAGAACATGCCCAACTATATACTTTACTTCTCTCATGATAGTATTTTTAGTGAACTAAGAACATGCCCAACTATACACGTTACTTCTCTCATGATAGTATTTTTAGTGAACTAAGAACATGCCCAACTATACACTTTACTTCTCTCATGACAGTATTTTTAGTGAACTAAGAACATGCCCAACTATACACTTTACTTCTCTCATGACAGTATTTTTAGTGAACTAAGAACATGCCCAACTATACACGTTACTTCTCTCATGATAGTATTTTTAGTGAACTAAGAACATGCCCAACTATACACTTTACTTCTCTCATGACAGTATTTTTAGTGAACTAAGAACATGCCCAACTATACACTTTACTTCTCTCATGACAATATTTTTAGTGAACTAAGAACATGCCCAACTATACACTGTACTTCTCTGATGACAGTATTTTTAGTGAACTAAGAACATGTCCAACTATAAACGTTACTTCTCTCATGACAGTATTTTTAGTGAACTCAGAACATGCCCAACTATACACTTTGCTTCTCTCATGACAGTATTTTTAGTGAACTAAGAACATGCCCAACTATAAACTTTACTTCTCTCATGACAGTATTTTTAGTGAACTAAGAATATGGCCAACTACACACTTTACTTCTCTCATGACAGTATTTTTAGTGAACTAAGAACATGCCAACTATAAACTTTACTTCTCTCATGATAGTAATTTTAGTGAACTAATAACATGCCCAACTATACACTTTACTTCTCTCATGACAGTATTTTTAGTGAACTAAGAACATGCCCAACTATACACTTTACTTCTCTCATGACAATATTTTTAATGAACTAAGAACATGCCCAACTATACACTTTACTTCTCTCATGACAGTATTTTTAGTGAACTAAGAACATGCCCAACTATACACTTTACTTATCTCATGACAATATTTTTAGTGAACTAAGAACAAGCCCAACTATACACTTTACTTCTCTCATGACAGTATTTTTAGTGAACTAAGAACAAGCCCAACTATACACTTTACTTCTCTCAAGACAGTATTTTTAGTGAACTAAGAACATGCCCAACTATACACTTTACTTCTCTCATGACTGTATTTTTAGTGAACTAAGAACATGCCCAACTATACACTTTACTTCTCTCATGATAGTATTTTTAGTGAACTAAGAACATGCCCAACTATACACTTTATTTTTAGTGAACTAAGAACGTGCCCAACTATACACTTTACTTCTCTCATTACAGTATTTTTAGTGAACTAAGAACGTGCCCAACTATACACTTTACTTCTCTCATGACAGTATTTTTAGTGAACTAAGAACATGCTCAACTATACACTTTACTTCTCTCATGACAATATTTTTAGTGAACTAAGAACATGCCCAACTATACAATTTACTTCTCTCATGACATTATTTTTAGTGAACTAAGAACATGCCCAACTATACACTTTACTTCTCTCATGACAGTATTTTTAGTGAACTAAGAACATGCCCAACTATACACTTTACTTCTCTCATGACAATATTTTTAGTGAACTAAGAACATGCCCAACTATACACTTTACTTCTCTCATGATAGTATTTTTAGTGAACTAAGAACATGCCCAACTATACACTTTACTTCTCTCATGACAGTATTTTTAGTGAACAAAGAACATGCCCAACTATACACGTTACTTCTCTCATGATAGTATTTCTTAGTGAACTAAGAATGTGCCCAACTATACACTTTACTTCTCTCATGACAGTATTTTTAGTGAACTAAGAACGTGCCCAACTATACACTTTACTTCTCTCATGACAGTATTTTTAGTGAACTAAGAACATGCTCAACTATACACTTTACTTCTCTCATGACAATATTTTTAGTGAACTAAGAACATGCCCAACTATACAATTTACTTCTCTAATGACAGTATTTTTAGTGAACTAAGAACATGCCCAACTATACAATTTACTTCTCTCATGACATTATTTTTAGTGAACTAAGAACATGCCCAACTATACACTTTACTTCTCTCATGACAATATTTTTAATGAACTAAGAACATGCCCAACTATACACTTTACTTCTCTCATGACAGTATTTTTAGTGAACTAAGAACATGCCCAACTATACACTTTACTTCTATCATGACAGTATTTTTAGTGAACTAAGAACATGCCGAACTATACACTTTACTTCTCTCATGACAGTATTTTTAGTGAACTAAGAACATGCCCAACTATATACTTTAATTCTCTCATGATAGTATTTTTAGTTAACTAAGAACATGCCCAACTATACACGTTACTTCTCTCATGATAGTATTTTTAGTGAACTAAGAACATGCCCAACTATACACTTTACTTCTCTCATGACAGTATTTTTAGTGAACTAAGAACATGCCCAACTATACACTTTACTTCTCTCATGACAATATTTTTAGTGAACTAAGAACATGCCCAACTATACACGTTACTTCTCTCATGATAGTATTTTTAGTGAACTAAGAACATGCCCAACTATACACTTTACTTCTCTCATGACAGTATTTTTAGTGAACTAAGAACATGCCCAACTATACACTTTACTTCTCTCATGACAATATTTTTAGTGAACTAAGAACATGCCCAACTATACACTTTACTTCTCTCATGACAGTATTTTTAGTGAACTA